GATTTTTGAAACAGGCATATTTCGTACTACACTTCGCAATTTTCGCAATACAAGTACTCAACAGATTGCGATTGCTGTATTTCTTGATATTGAAGGAGCATTTGACAATGCACTACCTAAATCAATAGGATTGTCTCTGGCTAGAAAGGGTATAGAATCGACCATAACTAGCTGGATCTATGCCATGCTAGTAAACAGATCTGCAACTACCACTCTTCAAGGCGAGGCTATCAGGTTCAGGGTTACCAGGGGCGGCCCTCAAGGTGGGGTACTATCTCCCCTTCTGTGGTCGCTCCTGGTGGATAGTCTGCTTGATGCCCTCGACAGAAGAAAAGTTGATCTGCAAGCTTATGCAGATGACCTTTTGATCCTGGCAAGCTCCACGTCGGGAAGGATAGCTTGTAATATCCTCCAGAGCGCGTTGGACGTTGTTCACAGTTGGTGCCTGAGGGAGCAGATATCTGTCAACTCCAGCAAAACTGTGTTAAAACCCTTCACCAAGAGAAGGAAATTGGACGATCTAACGCCACTTTCCCTCAATGGTGTGGTCATTCCATTTGGAACGGAGGTGAAGTATCTTGGCATTGCCCTTGATAAAAGACTCACCTGGAATGCTCACTTGGAAAAAGTTTTACACAAAGCCAGACTGTCTCTATGGACATGTCGAAGGATTTGTGGTAAAACTTGGAGTTTAGGTCCCAAACAAATCCATTGGATTTATGTGATGATTGTCAGACCAATGATAACGTATGATGCAATTGCTTGGTGCTCGAAGGCTTTACAGAAAACGGCCCAAGCGAAGCTCTCTGGCTTACAGGGACAGGCTTTCTGGCTATCAGTGGTGCCATCAGTACCACACCGTCAGCGGCCATGGAGATCCTTCTAGATCTACCTCCTCTCCACATTTTTCTGGAAACAGAGGCTAGATGGACTGCATACAGACTTGTGCACATTGCCTATTGCACAAATCAATCCAATGCAGAGTGCAACAGACTGTTGGTTGACATTGGAAGTCACAGCATTTTGGAAATGACCTCTGACTTTATGTCTCCAACTGTCAACTACGAACTGCCTTATAAAGTACTATTCCCGAGCAGAGAGGACTGGATCCTTCGGGAGAAGGAAACATTAAGAGCAGATAGTTGTTGGTTCACAGATGAATCAAAAACACCTTCCCGTTCTGGTGCAGGTGTTTTTTAAGTCGGAGACCCAGGACAGAGTTATCTACCTGCCTAGGAACTTATGCGACTGTATTTCAAGCGGGAATTTACGCTATTGAATTGTGTGCGGAGAGATTGGATAAATCCAACCTCACTCACAAGTCAATAAAAATATTATCGGACAGTCAAGCTCTTGGCTCCTACCGAGCAACGCCTAAATTGGTAGCAAACTGCCAAAAAAGACTCTCCTCGATAGGAAGACTAAACAGATTTTCTCTGGTCTGGATCCCTGGCCATACTTAGCCTGGAAGGCAATGAAGCTGCTGACTCTCTTGCAAAGGAGGGTGCTGCAAGTGGCTTCATTGGACCAGAACCTGTCATTGGCATCGCTTTGGGCTTTGCCAAACAAACGCTCAACACCTATGGCAAGAAGAGTTATGGATTTTTGGCAGAATCTTCCACTCCAAGGCGTTTATTCACTATTCGAAGCTTGATTCCAAACAGTTGTTGGACTACAGTAGGGATGAACTACGATGTCTAACAGGCCTTCCTACAGGTCACTGTCATTTGAATCATCATATGGAGAGACTCGGATTGTCGGAAGACAGTGTGTCTCGCCTCTGTTTGGAAAATGATGAAACAGCAGAGCACATACTTTGTGCCTGCCCCGCTGGAAACCGAATCAGGTTTTCAGAGTTCGGCAGAGCCTTACTCTACCATCTGACCTGAAAGACCACTCACCATATAAACTAATCGGCTTCGTTAAGAAGCTGGGTTTATTTGGTCAAGTGTGAATAGGTGTGAGCCACAATAAACCTTTGCGGGTTGCGGTGGAGGGTCGAATAGGCCCACTTACTTTGGACCTAACCTAAACTAATTTAACTCAATTCAAGTGACAGCTTTAACCCAGCCTCCTGCGAACACGCGAAAATGGCAAATTCTTGATATTTTGCTTCGCGTTTGAAAAAGTTACTGAGGAATCGATTTTGACCGTATATACCGAATTCCTATCCAAAATTCGAATTTTGATATTTTTATTTGTAATTTTCATATTCACGTCAGATTTTTAATTAATGGCTCTAAATAAGAAGCTAGGACAATAATAAATTCATTATAATGTAGGAAAAAGAATGAAAAACCTAATATTCATTATGAAAAAACTCAAATTTTGATTATCAGTTATCTACTAAAGAGCCAGACACATCTGTCGAAATCAAATGACAATTAATGAAGCGAATTCAACAGGAAATGAAATTAACACTGATATTGAAAGTCAGTTCCAAATATTGTATCTCTCAACTGACCCGCCCTCAACTCTGATACATTCTTTTTTTGTTATTATTGGCCATCTCCTAAGTTCTAGAATACTCATTTCACGGCATGGTTATCGTCGATTTCGTGGCCTACATTTGTGGATCCTATTCTTGACTGTTCCCCAGAAGTAAAAATGCATTGGATTTATGTCGGGAGAGCGAGGAGGCAATTGTTCATATGGGCTATTTCTACCAATAAGGAAATCCACAACGAATTGCCATTAGACGTTTTGGTGAAGAGGACCGACACTAAGTGGGAAACATCTGTATACCGAAAACCCACTCATACGGGACAGTATCTGAACCACGAATCCAACCACCATCAATCGACAAAAAGAGGAATCATCAAGACTCTATTAGACCGTGCTTTTGGGCTCTGTAATACAAAGGAAGGTCTCGAGAAGGAACTAGACATCATCAAAAATGATCTTCAGCGGAATGGATACTCCAAAGCGATGGTAGAAAAGACTTTGGCNCGGACGATGTACTGGTTTTTAAACGAACGAAGACATTCGTGCTTATAGAATTTGTAGGAGATTTAGGTGATATGTGTTCCGATACCTGTTGGCCCAAAAAGGTCTGTCTGTGGTGACGCATGTTGCTCAATTTTTTCAGAACGATACTGAATAGTCTGGTGATCGGAAATGGTCGATGAATTAATTGGATCTGATGGATATTGTTCGTCATATCTAACTGATTTTTTCGTTACGTAAACGACAAATAGTTCTGATGTTTCTGAATATTTGTTTTTTATATTTGTTCTTTGAAAAAAATCTAAATTAGCGACTTATATTGAATGAATACCTATCACCCACCACACAAAGTAAAAAAACCTAAAACTATTAAGTTCATTAAAATTTCAACCGAAAAAAAAATAATATAGTGATGCAGAATGCCGCATTTACTGGGATTGATCATGTAATAATTGCTGAATAAATAAGTTAGAAAAACTTCAACAGTTTGAGGAAGCAATATCTTTTGATATACTTGTTCTTCTGAATGATGTCAACAATTACTTTTGAACAAAAGGAGAAAAGTTTTTAATTATCTTCAGTTATATTTTCTAAGTACCGAGAAAACATGGAATTTCACAAATATATTTGAAACGCCCTTCACGAGATCGACAGAAGACTCAGTTTCATCATTAGTAACATCACTTCAACATTGGCGTTACTTTAGTAACAGAATGTTACTTTTTGACGTTTAAAATTGCCAGGTGACGTTTCTACCCAATTCGTTACATACTGAGAAACTTTCTTTGACAGTTTACGCCCGAGAACTGATAATAAGCGCACCAAAACTGACGTATCTTAACTGAAAGTTAATGTATCAAAACCAAAGATTGAACCGTCAACTGTCACTTGAAAATTAATCAACTAGTGTTGCCAACTTTTCGGCGCACTTCGTTTTGCGTGCGTCTGTCAAATGTTATTTTTGTTGGCCTAATCTGTTACACATTTTTGTCGTGCTCGAAAAACACTGTTATTATCGAGAAAACTTTTAATTTTGCTGCATCCAATGAAATGTTTCAATATTTTGGTCATATGGCACTGTAAAACGTTAATTCACAATCCTTTTTCCGTTACAACAAAACAATTTGCAACAATGCCAACTAACAATCAGTTTATTGTCATAGAATGTATCTTAACTGAAAGTTAATGTGTCAAAACCAAAGATTGAACCGTCAACTGTCACTTGAAAATTAATCAACTAGTGTTGCCAACTTCTCGACGCATACTACTTCGTTTTGCGTGCGTCTGTCGAATGTTATTTTTGCTGACCTAATCTGTTAAATATTTCTGTCGTGCTCAAAATACACTGTTAATATCGAGAAAACTTTTAATTTTGCTGCGATGAATGAAATGATTCAATATTTTGGTCATATAGCACTGTAAAATGGTAATTCACAATCCTTTTTCCGTAACTACAAAACAATTCGCAACAATGCCAACTAACAATGAGTTCATTCTCATAGAAAACCGATAGAACTCGTTTCATCAATAGAACATGAAATATGCAATCGCCTGGCACTGGCTTCACGCTATAAGGCATAAAGGATGTGCGTCTTGCCTCTGTTCCACCCTCAAATATTACCGCCTTATTTCTTCGAGTACACCCTCACCACCTCGTTGAGCTGGGTCAGATTTCTATCAAAGAGTGCATTCGGAGGATTTCTTGGGCATCATATTCTAATGTTACCGAGATTCTTCTTGGTCATGAATTACCAACCGATAAGAAAAATTTACTACAACTTTATTCAGTTTAGTTCAGTTTTATTCAGTTCAGTACAGTTTATTTTCAAATCAATAGAAATGGGCATTTCAGAAATGGCTCCACTTCAGAGGAATGTGGAGCCTTTAGGATTAGGATTTTCCTGTAGTCCTTGTGTTTTGCCCTTGAAAAAAAATTGCGATGTTATTCACAGATTACAAAAATTTCATTGGACTTCCTCTCCAACCGAGACAGGAGAGCCTGGTCAAATGCGCCAGAATGGGAAGCAACGGCCATTAAAGAGAGAAAAAAAAATTTGAGTGTTCTGTGATTTTATTGTTCTCGCTCTCAATGCTCGCGACACTTCGGTAGTATGATTGTGGTATGGTAACTAAAAAATCTTAACCTCAAAAAAGTCTGAATTTTAATTATTCAGTAGTTTCAATGAAATTGAGTCACCGAGTAAAAAGAATACCATCTCTAATTCCATATTAAATGAGACATTAAACTTTGAAAAACATGGAAGAAACATTCACGGAAGAAGAACTCGCATTACCGACGTGTAAATATGAATGTAAGAGAATAATTTATCAATTCCAGTACCAAAATGATGTTTCTTTGTTTCAGACTTGGACCACACTGCTGATGTACAGTAAGTTGAATCTCAAGAAAATAATTATATTTCTAAGAATATAATTTTTCAGACTACACGCCTGGGGAGACAGTTTGAAAGAAGCCTTCGAACAATGCGGAATTGCAATGTTTGGCTATATGACAGAATTACCCTCAGTAGAAATTAAACAATCAGCCGAAATAGAAGCAACGGGTCATGATCTAGAGAGTCTGCTCTTCCACTTCCTTGACGAATTATTATTCTTATTTAGCTGTGAACCTTTTCTGATATGTAGCAAGGTGTGTATTACAGAGTTCACTACAGAGGGTGAGGAATTAAAGATTAAATGTAAATGTTATGGGGAAGAATTCACAATAGGGAAACATCCTCAAGGAACTGAAGTTAAAGCGATAACATATTCAGCTATGCAAATAGTAAACGAACCTGAGAAAAATAGATATGAAGTATTTGTTATTATTGATATATGAAATATTTTAAAATTAAACTGGAAGTAATTTTCAGTTAACATGTTATTCCTGCACAATGTAAACAAGATTCATTTTTGATAGTGACTTATATTTAATATTTATTATTAAACATTTTTAGTAGCAGTTTTTAGTGGTTTTCATTAGGAAAAATATTCCAGATTTTTTACGGAATGGGTCTATCCTTCAATTATCACATTAAAGGTTTCAAAGATTCAAGTGATTGTAATGAAAGTATTTAGGGTTTTGGTATCTGAGCACAAATATACAAAAACAATACAGTAGCTCATGCTATATTTAATGAAAATGTATTGTTGGCCTTCATAAGTCCCAACCGTTTGTCTTAATCCTAAGGCATTGATTAATTAACAAACTAAACAAGGTGAGTACATAAATCAAGGATGTAAGTGAAGTGTTAACAGTAAATGCTTATGGACCACACTTGACTCAAAACATATAAGCATAGTAACCACCCGTAACCTAACCTACCTGTTGGTCTGAAATATCAGATACCATGGTAATTTATACATATTACTTTGGAAAAAGGAATTAGTAATTTCTTCATCAATACTGGAGTCGTAAATACCTATACATAACTACATGTTAAAGTCACCCTACAAAAGAAATTGTAACAAAATAACACTATTCAAATTAAACTTGCAAGCAAAAATGTATATAAATGAAATGGAATCAAGAGTAATGCCTAAACCTAATGTTCACATGTAGATCAAAAACATGTTTTATGTACATCCAACTTGATTTGTTCAACTGAAAATCATTTGATGTCAACTGATTTACTGTTTTCAATTCAATTAGAAAATGATTATAATCTAAGAGCCCTTCATGGAATGAATAGGTCATTCGTATTTCTTGCACAAAACGTTTGACTTAGTTTATATTTCCGCGTAAGGAATACTTACATACATTTCAACTTCCATCAAAATGTAAAAGTAGGGGCCTAATTCTGTACCTAATTCTAGAAATAGACTGTTGAAAAATAATTATCTCAAAACAGTATTATGACAAATATTTTCCATTTCATTTAATATCACAAATAACATCAAAAGTAACAATATTTCATGTTTCGAAAAATATTTAATCTAGTTCTGAAAGCACAAGACAAATATTGTTGGTCAAAGCTTTGTATGTGATAGTCTATATAGGTATATAAAGGTAAAAGTACTTCGGTTGCAATTTGAATTTGAAATATAAAGGGACAACAGAAAAATATGTACCACGAGATGGCGTCGTAAATGCCTGTCCAAGTGAAAAAAACACTCGATTTTTGTTTTCAATAACTATGATCAAATTAGAGTTCATGAAGTAGGAGTATTTTATTAAAGATACATAGAAACCCTGGTGTTTTACCGATTCGCTTTTGTTTTGAAAAAAAAACTCTACGCTAGAAATTAGATTGATTCAACTTTGTACACATGTTGATAGATGGTGCAAGAGTCGAAATCTGTCGCCATTCTATTTACCAAACGTAAACAAGATTGAAAATTGAAGTGCAGCCAACTTGACATTGACAAGCAGTCAATTGAGGTGTGAATGGAATGCGGAAATTTATTAGTTTTCTTTATTACCTAATCAAGAGTGCTGTAGGTCTAAAATTGTTTACAAAATATTTTACATGGGAAAGAGGTCCAAATGATCACACGAGGAATGTTTCATACATCTTGATTAAAAGAATTCAAAAACTTAGGGATCCAAAATAGAATTCATCTTCATGTTTTCATTTTCAGTGTGTCAGACATAAGGAGGACCAACAAAGGAAAATTGGCAAGAGATTCAAAGTCGCTTAAATTAGAAAAAAGTTGCCTATTTTAGAGCATGTTTATGTGACGATTTAAATTTAGGGATTATGTTTATGACTTCATCAGTCGAGTTGTCACCAAAAAGGCTACCTTATAACTTATAACTGGTGATTTTTTCGGTTTCTCGGAGACGAAACGTCGAATTGAAAATCTGTGAACGTCATCTAGTACAATTTGAAAAGTGGAAATGTTCAATATGTCCCCAAATAACGTCAGAAAAAAATTAAAACGAAATTTTTTTCAATTTGGTTTATTTTCCCAAAAAACGATGAATGCTTATAATTAGGGACTGTAACTAACTACAAATTATAATAAAATAACAGAAATAACAAACTTCACAATGAACACATATTATATCTAGAATAAAAATACCAATGAAATGCAGTCAAATAATGAAATTGGTTACAGAATGTATATGGTAAAGTAAATTGGCGAATTTTGTTTATTTTGAATAGCTTCTCGAAACCATAGTATAAAGATAAAAGTTTTAAACTATGCAGAAACTGAAACTAACCAATTTTTTTTTTTAATTTCAAGACTTCTTTCAAGTAAGTTCGAAAATGGGCAACTCTTTCCTAATTCAACCGACTTCGTAATAATCAGTTTTCTATTTTTCCAGACTGTCCCTCCTTATCTTGGACATACAGTATTTGGTACTGGGGACAGATCAGATCCATTAGGATTTTACAGCACAATATTTTCAATAAATTGCCCATTCAGCTTTTTAATTTGTTTTTATAAATCAAGGAATATGTTTTTATACAAAGATGAAACCTTTATAAATTTATCACATTACATTATGAAACATAGATGTCACTTACTTCATGATTTGTCGCCACCGAATTAACCAAAATACGAGTGTCTCCCACAGAATAGTAACCAAATGTTGAAATTCTGGCTCTTATGATTAGGGCACAGATGAGTACCTATATTTCATTTCACAATTCACATTTTTCCAATCTTAATCCAATTTTCGAATTAAAATTCGAAAAAACATATTCGTTTGTACAACTATTATAAATATTGTAAACAATTTTGAAATAGAAAATGAGCTGAGAATAGATTTGAGTGAAACAACACAAACTGTCAGCTATGGAGACTTTGGAGAGTTTCCCGCTCCTGACCAGGGTTCCAACTGCACAAAAATCAACATATGAAATCAACTGTGGAACAACTTCACTATTCGAGATCACTACCGCAAGATGACTCTGAAAAACTCAGGGATAACGAAGACAAGTTGATTTTGAATCGATGCATAAAAACAGTTGAGCTAAAAAGCGTTTACATAGCTCAAATGCTCTAAACGTGTTTAACACATTAAAATGAACATATATTTCAGACAATTCTTCCTTGTATACTAAGCTGAATCGATCAAAATTCGGATAGTCCCATACTTGAAAAAAAATTATTTTAAGAAAATGCTTGACCTTCGGTCTCTGGATTTTATGAATAATAATGAACGTCCATGGAAGCAGGGTCTGATTCAATTAGACAAAGGCTTCAAGCTATTTGAGATATGGAGGCCATTAATATAAATCCAGTAATCCCCTGTACTGTATTCGGTCTGAGAATTTTCGAGAAAATACCGAAAGTTAGTAAGTAATTTTTTCGATGAAATTCACTACTTCGGACTTTCATTGTCTACTATATAAAATGATTTGAAATCCCTGAAACAACTAAAAAAGAAGAATTGAAAATGAGTAGCTGAAAATAACAATTATATTAACCAAAATAAACCTGAAATGAAATAATAGTGAAATAAAATACAAGTAAAAATAGAACAATTGAATAAATGAAAATAAAGAAATGAAAAAAGAAAATAAAAATAAAAAGTGGAGAGATTCCAAGTCACGTTAGTTCACGACGTTTCGATTGTTAGTATCTACAATCGTCTTCGGGTGATGACTGGACTGATTCCTCCGAGAGATGACT